TTCAAAAATTTCCAGATTTTCTATGGAGTTTGTTTTCTTTTGTTGAGAATTTTTTGTTTTTATTTATTTATTTATTTATTTATTTATTTATTTATTTATTTATTTTTGTTGTTAATCTTCATCCAAGGGTATTTTCCTATTTATTTATTTGTTTGTTTGTTTGTTGTTGTTATTAATCCTCATCCAAGGATATCTTCCCATTGATTTTTTAGAGAGAGTAGAAGGGAAGGGGAAAGACAGAGAGAAATATTTATGTGAGAGAGACACATTGATTGATTGCCTCCCACATGCACCGGACAGGGCCAGGGCTAGGGATTTAGCCTTCAAACCAGGTACATGCCCTTGACTAGACTCAAACCCAGGGCTCTTCAGTCTGAGGGCTGGTGCTCTATCTACTGAACCAAACTGTCTAGGGCAAGCTGGGAACTTTAACAGCGCTTTTCTCACTTAATCCTGACAACAACCTTGCAAAGATAAGAATCATTAACCACCATTTTACCCTGAGAAAATAAAAGTAGAAGTCATTAAACTACTATAATCTGATTACAGTTCTGCATAATTCAAAGTTTACTCATTACTTAGCCACTTATGACACATAGACATCTAGAATGCAAGCTCTATAAAAATAAAGATCTTGTCAGTTTTATTCCCTGTAGAATCCACAGACCCCACAAATAATGGCTGACACATAATGGGGTATTTAATCAGAATTTGTTTAATGATGAATAAATGCCCTTAATATTTCATGTAGCTTCCAGAAATAAAAATAACAGTGCTCATAGAGTCTGGTCCAGTCAAGAGGTCAGTGGTTTAAGACAGGCTTTTATCTGTGCACCTCTGACTGTCACAACCTGATAGTAAGGTTGTGGTGACAGTCTGAGTGTCCATCCCACTGCAGCAAATCCTTTGCCTCTGGGCAGTGTCCTCACCAGAGCTCTGAATAGAACATAGGTCATTAGTTCTCACACTGCTAGGCTGGTAGTGCTCCTGCCAGCTTGGCAAGAAGGGGACCATCACCAATAGTGGCATCTTGCTCATCTGAAGGGCCCATAATCTACAGCCTCTGCTATCTAGGACAGAAGCAAGCAAAGATGGCACTTGAGCAGCCAAACTCATAAACAAAATATATTTTATTTTCTATAAAATGCCTGCAAGTCTCAGTTTACCATAAGTCTAAGTTCATAGCTCATAGCAAAGCAGATACAGCAGTTAAAAATGAATGAACCAAAGAAGAGGCAAAAAAAAACTATAAGAGGAAATCACAACCGTACATTTGGAACATAGGCACTGGGATAAATAGCATAAGAGGCCCTGAAGACATGCTTGAATTATCCAAAGAAATCTAACACTCTGCTCACAATAATCTGTGGTAAGACTTACGTTAGCCCTAGCCAGCTTGGCTTGGTGGATAGAGCATTGGCCTAAGGACTGAAGGGTCCCAGGTTTGATTCCAGTCAGGGGCACATACCTTGGTTTCAGGCTCCTCCCTGGCTTGGGCCCTGGTCAGGACTCATGAAGGAGGCAACCAATTGATGTTTCTCTCACATCAATATTTCTTTGTCTTTCCCTCTCTCTTCTACTCTCTCCAAAAATCAATGGAAAAATATCCTCAGATGAGTATTAGAAAGAAAGAAGTAAATAAAGGCAATACTTAAAAACAAAAATAAATATTTTTAAAAAGAAAGCCATTTCAAAAATGGCCAAAATATCAAATTACCTGAAAACTTACTGATGTAAGGCTAAATAAATGAGGCCTTAATAGAGGATCCCTTCACACTTCTACTAAAGTCCTTAAGAAATCAGCAGTGCTTTTACTAGTAAACGGGTCATAAAAATCTCAGCTTCTTGATGTCCAATACAACGAGGGTTTCCTCTCTGATGCCTCAATGTCTATTATCTGACAGTCTAAACCCTGAGCTGTCCACACATCTTTCTAGTTAGATCCTGAACTTTGAGGTTCTCTCATATATGATTAGACTAATTTAAGCACAAGTTACTTTCCTCTTCAAAGACTGTATCTTATGACTGAACCTGAAAACTCCCACTAGCAGGTTATTCTAACCACCAGAGGCCTGAGGTTGCAGCAAGAACATCTGAAGCCAACGCAGGCAGAAGCTATGCTGAAAAAGAGCAGCTCGCCACTGGCTCAGAGCAGGGTGACAGCTTTTGTGTTATTTTAGAACAATTTGTGCTGATGAGCTTTTTGTTGTGGTAACATTTCTCTAAAAAGAACATTTTCTTCCTCCTCTCATTTTACAGAGTAATTCAGCAGAAAGTGAAAAATGAAGGAAGGCAGATGACAAGGAAATCCAGGAATTGGTGAAGTTTGGATCACATCATCTTAACTGTTGTGCCATCTATCTCCCAGTCCCATGGCCAGGCCCTTGGAGGGATATGAGGACACCTCTAGGCCTCATTCATCACCAGAAACCGACTCTATTTCCAGCATAGAGAAAATTGGATCCTGTGAGAACCAGTAACACTTCTAGATGTAACCAAAAGTTTAGATATTTTCATCATGGTTGTTGTCCTTGCTCAAGAACCTACAATATCCAGGTTTAAGAAATACACATAGCTCAGTCTAGTTGCCTGGGCCCACTTTCTTTTCCAGATTTTTGTCCTGCAGTTTTCTACCACAGTCACTCTAACTAAACCTACCTCCACATTCTTTGCTCACCCTCGTTCCCTACAACTCAGGCTGCCCCACCCTTCCCACTCTATCCAAAAATCTACTTTTCCTCCAAAAAGTCTATTTTTCCCCCTCTTATAAATCCCTTAGCCATTACATAGTTCAACCTAATACAAGGATCCCCTCTGCTGACCAGTTAGCCGAGTGCTATATTCTACTTGCCCATCTTCAATGACAGGAAGTTAACTATCTACCTACCTACCAAAAAAGTCCTTTCCATGATGAGATTGTACTATTAGGCAATTCTTTATTCCAAAAGTATATGCCTATATTTTACTTTTCCTACGTTGGTTCTGGCTCTGCCCTTAGAATAAGAGAAACAATTCAGCAATACTTAACAGTTGAATGAGCTCTGAAATCAGATCTGTGCTCATGTTCAGTATTTACTTGAACAAAATGCTTAACTTTTCCAAGGCTCCAGTTCTTAATAACAATATCAGCTTTATAAGGCTGATAAGAACGTTAAAATAATAACTATGGCCCTGGCTGGTTTGGCTCTGTGGTTTGGACATCGGCCCATGGACCAAAGGGTAAAGGGTTTGATTCCCAGTCATGTACCTTGGTTGCAGGTTCATTCCCAGGCAAACAATTGATATGTCTCTCAGGCTGATGTTTCTCTCTCTCTTCCCCTCTCCTCCCTCCTTCCCACTTTCTCTCTAAAAAAGAAGAAGAAAAATCAATGGAAAAGATATCCACAAGTGAGGATTAAAATAAAAAAAGAACTATGCAAAGAACTTAACACTATGTCTCACATAGTATACAAATTTAATAGCACTGACCAGTTTGGCTCAGTGGATAGAGCATCAACCTGCGGACTCAAGGGTCCCAGGTTCGATTCTGGTTCAGGGCACATACCCAGGTTTCGGGCTCGGTCCCAGTCTATTTCTCTCTTCCTCTCTGAAATCAATTAAAAAAATATATTTTAAAAAGAATTTAATAAATCTGCCGGGACTGGTTTGGCTCAGTGGATAGAGCATTGGCCTCCAGACTGAAAGGTTCCAAGTTCGATTCCTGTCAAGGGCATGTATCTTGGTTGCTGGCACATCCCCAGTGGAGGGTGTGCAGGAGGCAGCTGATCGATGTTGCTCTCTCATCGACGTTTCTAACTCTCTGTCCCTATCAATTCCTCTTTGTGTAAAATCAATAAAATATTTTTTAAAAGAATTTAATAAATCATAGCTATCGCTGTAGTTTTCATTGTTATCATTGTTATGTAAGTCTGATTCCTCTATTCTTATGTATTTGAAAACAGAAATTGTATTACCCAAGTTTTTTCTTTTCCAGGCTAAATTTTCTTGACTAGATTGTAAATTATGCGAGGACAGATGTGTCTGCTCCACTTACTGCCATATCCCATGTCTAGAACTGTGCCTGGCACATATATAATAGACACTCATAAATACGGACATGTATTGAACGGTCTCCATTTCACAATTTCAGTGCTTTTCATCAGCCATGTCATGTATAGGCTCTCACTGTTACAAATGCTTTTGTCAAGGTGAGATCCAAAACTGAACTCAAAACGTGAAGGTGAGCTAAGCAGCAGAGAGAGAAGACTAAGAATTCCTCCTTCCTCATGATATACACCATATCACTATTAAAAAATTGGCAAACTTGGCAGTTTCACCAAACTGCTGGTTCATGTTAAACTTGAAATTAATTGAAACCTTTAAATCCTTTCATACATGATGACTTTGTTTTCTGGGCTCTCTGGAACTGGAACTGGAGTAATGCCAAAATGTGAAACAATAACATAGCTTTTTCCATTTAAAGATTCCTCTCACTTTTACTATCTGGACCACTCAACTGGCACCTAGCAGCTGCAGCCTGGAATTAAAAATAATCTTTTTAGGACCATTTGTTTCTTCCTCCCAAATAGAATATAAGCTCCCAGAGGGCAGGATCTGTCTTGGCTTCTCTCACACTTGCCAACAAAGGGCTGAGCACAGAGTAAGAACAGATTGATGCCCTCTGTCTACAGCAGGATTGCAAGAAGGATTCAGGGGACTATAAAGACCAACCTTGGGGGTCTCTCTCCCTCTCAAACAGCACAGCTCAGTCAGTGTTGTGCTTGTAGCCAGTAGGTGAGCGGGAGCCAGTCCAGGCAGAAATGCACACATAAGGCCTGCACTGTGAACTGCTGGCTCCTGGAGAGCTGCTCTGCTGAGAATCACTTCCCCTGACAGAGATAAGTTTCTAGAGAACAAGCCAGTATCAAAGCCATCTCTCCACGGGAACAGTCTGTCTAGAGAGCTTTCAGGGACTGTTCACAAGGAAGAGAAGAGAGCCACAGCAGGATGAGAGGGCTCACCTCATCACTTTCTTCCACATCCACATCACCGTTGGCATCATCATCCATCAGTTTGTGGATGCTGCGGACTGCATCAAAGCTGAGCTTCTCATCCTCACTGTCACACAGGGGCTTGTCAATCCGGCAAAACTCTGTGCAGGAAAAGCAAGAGATAACATTACTGGGGCTGCCACCCAAACTCCATTACCCACCTGTCTCTGTCCTTAGCTTCTAGCACCTGACTCCTCATATAGCCACTTAACTGGCTATTTATATATAGAGAAAAGTGCTTCATCTAGCCAAGGGGTTGGCAACCTTTAAGACATAAAGAGCCACTTGGACCCGTTTTCGAAGGAAAAAAAAAAACCTCGGAGCCACAAAACCATTGCGACATAAGTGATACAGCTCCCTGCCCCGCCCTGCTATCTGCCCTGCTAGTGTCAGACTTGCTGGGGGCCGCAGCAAAAGTTCAAAAGAGCCGCATGCAGCTCCGGAGCCGCAGGTTGCCGACCCCTGATCTAGCCTATAATTGCCTCCCCAAGGATGTGCTGAGCTCCCCCATTTAAGGGGGGAGCTCAGCACATCCTTTATCATCCTAATAGTTCCTTTGCAGGAAAGTCAAGCATAGGACTAGGAATACACTGGGATCTAGAACATGAATAGGTAACTCAGAAAAAAAAAATATATATAAATAAGAAAAAATACAAATAGTGAACATAGAGAAAAGTTTAGCATCACTAGTAATCAAAGAAATACATATTCAAATATTTTTATTCAATCAATAAACAAATGTAAATTAATACAATTTTTCTAGAAACAGGAAAACACTAATTCATTCCAATGCCAAAATAATATGTAGTTTCCTTTTAGTTCACTTTGTCACTACTAGGACATAAAATGGCTAACTGGAGAAATCCTTCACACCATAGGCCTTCCCACAGTTATATTCAGCAAGTATCTATCAGACATCTAAAGTCCAAAGCTTATCTGATATGAAAATTTGGAAAGTCTGAGATGCAGCTTCCTCTGTCCACCATCACCCTCAGTCAGTCCTGCAGAAGTAAAACCAGAACAACTAGGCTACCCTAGTTCCTTTATGACACCTAAACATCTCTTACAAACCTGGAAAACACCTAGCCTGACTTACAGCATACAGCAGGAAGAATCTGGAAACTAGTCTTAGCTCTACAATGTGATTCTAGGGTGGTGACTTCCTTTCTCCAGGCCTCAAGTTCATTATTAAAACAAAACATTTTAATTACAGTTTCTAGTATTTCTTCCATTTCCCAAATTCTAAAATTCCTTTTTCCTTTGACCCTGACCTTGATTACTACTTTCTAGACAAAATATTCTTCAGACACCTCCAAAGAAGTTGGAAGAAAGACCCAAACTTCCCAGGTAACAGAAGATGCTATCAGGAGAGAAAGCAAAGCCAGGGTAAAAAAGCTACTGCTTCAAAGACTTCTAGCAGGCACTGATATAAGACCTGAACACTCTAATCCATTTAATCATTTACTTGTCCGCTGGTCAAACAGTGACAAGATAGGCCATTTCCCTATCACTTGCTAGTTGCTCAAATCCTTTTCAAAACAGGAAAGGAGTATAAATAAAAAACTTTTAAATGTCCCAGATGTGATTTAATAAAAATATGTTGAATACTGAAGTTCACAGAAATTACTGGTATGTCCAAAGTCAAAGGCAACTGAAGAACCACAGAAAGAACCCATCTACTGATTCCCAGGCCAGCACTTCACCTAATTGCCTTTATGCCAAAGTGACCAGATAGCTTTAGGTCGGTTTCATCTTCTAGAAGCCACAAATGGTAATTCTGGTGAGAAGTAGTACACTGAAGAAATGAGTTAATAAAAGAAAAAAGTAAGATAAATATATGCATACAAAATAATATGCATACAAATAGTATGCATATAGTATCCATGTAATCATATGTTCTTCTACATTTGTCCTGCCAAGTTGGAGTAAGGAGTAGGGGGAGGAGGGGAGGAAGGAGTAGTGTGTACTAATGGGAAGAGTAGAATGTAGCCAAATGTTAAGGCGTTGTTTCTCACTTTCTCACCAACAAGAGCTCTTGGCATGATTTTTTAATTTATGGACTCCTATCCTACTCTTCCAAACCAACTGCAATAAAGCAATAAGTAATGACTAGTTTATAGATAAAGTACACAGCATTAAGATTAGCACAACTTTCACTCCCTTATTCCTGTTTCTATGTTACTGAAAGTCACATATAATTGCCCATCAGAGTTTTTTGATCAGCATATGATATGTGCATTTATTGAGTGCTCTTCACGTGTCAGGCTCTGTAATCAGCATGGGGTATAGGTATAAAGATATGAATTAGGTCTCATCTTTGCTCTCGAGGAGCTAAATTATAAAAGTGAGGGAGATAGGCGATTAAAATGCTATGTGCTAAGTGCCATAATAGAATCAAGATTACTCTAGAGGTCAGGAAACATTTTCTGTAAAAGGCCAATCAATAGACAATTTAGGATTTAAGGGCCATAAAGTTTCTGTTGCAACTACTTAGCTCTATCATTGTGCACTAAAGCAGCCATGGACAAAACAAAAGTAAATTAGTTTAGCTGGGTTCCAACAAAACATTATTTACAAAAACAAGCTGTGGGCTGGATTTGACCCCTGGGTCATAGTTTGCTAACACTTGTTTATAAAACCATTGGTAGCACACCTGAACAACACTCAATTGACAGATTTCTGACCCAATCTTTCATTAGCCTGCATCCATACACAGGTTTATCTTAAGTCAAGTACAACTTCTAATAGGCTTTTTTAAATAATGGAAATAGTTTACTAAGCTCAAGGGCCTGTAGGTCTCCAGGGTAGGCGCTTGGAGTCAGCCAGCCCCTTTCCCAAAAAGCCTATATACAACAAGTCCAAGAAGTTTATACTTCAAACAACAGGCTCTGGTTTGTAACTTGATCAAACTGACAGGTGACCTTTACTGCTGGCATCATCTGGCATAGAGAAGGATTAAAGGGATTGAAGATAAGAGAGTATAAAATCTTGATATCCCATATGGCTGCAGAATCCTGTCCAGAAGAAAGCATGATTCAGCCAAAATTCACAAATAACTCCAACCAAGGATTTCCTAAGCTATCTCTCTTTCCTGAGACCTTTTCTATTTTCTTTTATGCATTCCAATCTGGCAAGTTTCCCAGAGCCATCTGGAAATGCCTTAGCAGATTCACCAATTTAACAATACATTATTATGGCAATGGAGCCCTACACTCAGAATCAGAACACATATGTCAAAATCCCAGCTTCATCAGTTACAACCATATTATATTGGACAATCTCTTTACTGTCTGGCTTACTAGAAGACAGCTGCAGTCTTATTATATCTGTTTCCTCATTCAATGTGTTGTTTTGATTGAAGATCAAAACATAGATACAGCCGAAGCCGGTTTGGCTCAGTGGTAGAGCGTCGGTCTGCGGACTGAAGGGTCCGCTTCCGATCAAGGGCATGTATCTTGGTTGCGGGCATATCCCCAGTAGGGGGTTTGCAGAAGGCAGCTGATCGATGACTCTCTCATCGATGTTTCTAGTTCTCTATCTCTCTGCTTTCCACCATCATTGCAAATGTGCACACAGTGAAAAAAGTAAATAGCATCTGAGCATTATTATTAAAATGGCTTTGAGTTTTGGGACCCTTGAAAAGATCTTAGTTTGCAGACCATGTAACCACAAAGTCCTTTTCCTCATGTTCAAATCTCTTCTTTCTCCTAGCAGAGTTAATCATTTACTGTTGGAAGGTCCAAAGTACTTTGTACATACTCTTATATTAATTCTCATACCCACTCAGAAAACAGCAAGGACTAAGTTTGACTCACACTATGCCCCAGAGCCTAGTATGGCACCACCAACATCTGCCTTGTCAAGCATAAAATTGGTAAATACTGGCTTAATGAGTGAATGAAAGAATGCACAAAATAATATGCTAGAAAAGATGAAGAAATCATCAGTTCTACCAGGGAAGAAAGGGTTTTTACCTCAACCACTCCTGTTGTGTCCCATTTCTACTTTTTTGCTCCTCTCACTATTCTTTTCTTCAAACTTAAATCTCACAAGAAGCCTCCTTCGAGGAGAAAGTGGCTAATTCCTAAAGTTAGTCTCCACCAAGCAGGCCATCACCTCAATACTTTAGGCGTTTGGTGCAGGGCCTTCTAGCTGTTCTGACCCCCCAAGTCTCCTCTTGAGTCTCCTGCAGGGCTTTGGACTCTTGTCCATCTGCTTAACAGCCCATTTGCCTGCCCTTTTACTATTATAACCTTCCTGATAGACTGAAAAGTGTCTGACTTCCAGTTCAGTGTTCACATGTTTCATGTCAACACTCATTTGCTGAACTCTGAACTAGCTATGGCTGAACTAGCCAAAGACACTGGGAATAAAAAAAAAAAAGTAAGACATACGTCTCTGGCCTCCACTCAACTTCCCCTCTACCCCTAACACCTAACTATTAAAATACATGCTGAACTGCAAAAATGGTAAATGTGGATCTCTGAATTCCAACTTTCCTATATCCTGTCTACTCCTGAGGATTAATTTTATTTGAAAAACCAGTAAAGGCCTGTAAATACAGCAAAGCCCTATAAAAATATTAGTCATTTGTCATTTCTCTATTCTTTGCTTTCCCTGGGAGTCTTATCTTCCCAACTATAGCAAGAGGAGGCTGATTTTTCTGGTGTTCTTCTGTGTCTAGCCCAGTGCTGGGCAACACAATAATATCTGGTCAAAGGACAACTGAAAGCTGCGTAAAGATTTTGAAGATATGCTTTCTCAGCCTTGGGGTCCCATACACCACATGTCTTTATAGTCTAAAGCTATTTGAGCCAAGAACTGTAACAGCCCAAGAAAAATTAAATCAACACATACTTGTTCAAAAGCTACCCTAAATTCTCTGACCTGGCGCCTAACCCAAACATTCTTGTGTTCTGGCCAGCACTTGTCAGGGATTGAGATGGCCAAAAAATAATTACAGATAACTCAAAACTTTTCTGCTGGGAAGTTTCCTAAAAGTAGTGGGGTGGGCACCCAAGCCCTTGCCTAGTTGGAGACTTTGCACCAATTAGTGGGCCCTCTAGAATTATAACCTTCTAGAGGTGCTGGCTTCCAACGG